TGAACAAGTATGCTAGTTGGATCATACTTATCGGAAGAGAAACCATGCTGCAGATATTTTAGGTAAACAAGTTTATGATTTTGATTAAGTGTATGCTAGTTTTAGTATTCCGCCTTTATGGTTGATTAATCTTTGTATTATTTGTTCACTATTTAATAAAATATTTAGATGTTAAAAAAGAACTATTCAAAAGTTTGAATTTATTACATGACTCTAAAAAAATAGTCAATTCCAACAAAACGATAAACGAAATTAGTTTTCCGTTAATGATTGTGTGATATGGCAAGTGGAACACGGTTATGGTCTAATATTAGAAAAAACAAATATTTGGGAGATTAGCTAGAGTGACCTATTTTTTTTTTAAATAGCTATAATATCTTTACTATTTTTTTTCATTGCTGAAATAATTTATTCTAGATTTTTCTTTTTTTACAATACCAAAATTGTCTTCCACAGACTCTACCGAAATATTGGCAGATTCAACCGAGACATTGATAGACTTTGTCGAGATATTGGTAGACTAGTTGACTAAGATATATGTCTACTAACATTTTAGAAAACTTTTAAAGCGTCTACTAGAAAAACCTAGACTCTGCTGAAACATTAGTACACTCTACCAAGATATCGGTAGACTCTTACGAAACATTAGTATACTTTACCGAAGTTTCGACAGACTCTACTGAAACATTGGCAGACTATAACGAAGTATTGCCAAACTCTGTAAAAAAATGTAGATTTTACAAAAAAGAATAATTTGCAAAGACATTGACAGACATCTAATATTTTGTATTTTGTTAAATAGGTATAAGTAAAGATCGAACTCTGGTGGGAGTTCAAACGGTGAGGGTGACTTTATCAGTAGAGCTGATTAGAATTCTTGTTCTAACGCATACTTAACATATTAAAATTGACTTTTGACACCTGTAAAAATTTCCACCAAAATCCTGATGAGTTAATCTCCATTCTTAGAGTCTAACTTTTCTTAACTTGTTATAAAAAAAAATTAATTAAATATTAAGCATTTTTTTTATTTTTGAGGGTTAAGAATCTATTCTTAAAGTCTAACTCCTCTTAATTTGCTAAAAAAAAATTAATTGAAATGCTTAGCATTTTTTATTTCTAAA